AGTTATTTTTTGCTTGAGCCAGGAGTGCCATAAGCCGGTTGGATTTGGAGGGCTTTTTGCTCTACTTTTTGTAATTCTATTTCTTCTTGTTGAATTTTACTTAAAAGATTAGTCCGAGAAGAAGCTGGTGTTTGCTCTTGTTGCTCAAAATAGTTATCTAGGTTGATTGTTGTATGTTGATTTTTAATAACTTCATTTTGTTCACTTCCTAACCTCTTAGCTTCAGTTTTGCGATAGTTGCTTATTTCTTTTCTCAAATTTTCGGCTATTTCTTTAATTATCATTAATTCAGCTTTTCTTGCTGGTCAATTATCTCGTAAATTTTGAGAAAAGCTTTCTCTAGCTTTTTTTCATTCTTCATCATCGATTTCTCCATCTTTGTTAGTATCATATTCTTTTCAAAAGCTGTGAATTTTATCACTTAATTCTTTGAGAGTTTTTTTTACTTCTCCTTCATCAAGAATAGAAATTTCAATAGGGTCAAGCATTGCTTTTAAGTCATTGTAATTGTCTCAAATATCTTCTGCATCTTCAGCAAATAAACTTTGTTTTAATTTATTGCTTTCGTGCCTTTCTACTAAGTTGGAGATAAACACCTCTATAAAAGGAGAAATTAGAGTAGTTCAGTCGCTCATGGCTGACTCACCTCGGATTAATTGAACTCCACTAGCTATTAGAACTCCTCGGTTAGCTCATTGAATAGTACTAATGCCATACTTAAACTCTTCAACTCACTGTAAATTTGGCAGACCATTCTTTCAACGTTCAAGAAATCTATCCATAACTCGACGTATAGTATATAGTCTTTCTACCGAGATAAGAGTGGTTAAGATTCTTCTTATTTCGGCTTGGCGGAGTTCTTCTTGTTTTTGTTTTTCTAGATTTTGGACTTTTTTTAGGTTTTCAATCGTTGCTAAAATTTTATTCTTACGAGTTTCTAATTCTTTCAGAGTTTTGGCAAAGCTTAAATAATCTTGTCAAGTATGTTCAAAACTATTAGCATGATTATCACTAATTAGTTGCTGAACTAATTGCTCAGAATTAAAGTTATTAGTAGCAAGAATTTTATCTATTTCTGCTTTAATTTGGGGGATTTGAAGACTTGTTTTATATTTTTGAAGTTTTTGAGGGAAATCTTTTATTGATCCAATTAATTCCTCTTCTTCCACTATTCCTTTTTCATTAGCAAATAAGTTATAAATAGCTTTTACTTTAGCTTCTGGTCTTTCGCTTGTTAAACAATAAAAAATTTCTAACTTATCAGGCAAATATTCCAACCCACTATTAATGTCAGTGTTTGAAATATCAAGTTTTTCTAACTTATTCATATTTTTCAAAGGTTCTAAGGAACCAATAAAACGATTATAAACTCCTTGCCGGATTCTTTCGTAACTATCATTTTTGTTGCCTAGTCCCAACTCTTTTAAATTCACAAAACTACTCAAAAGATTTAAGTCACAATTGTTAGAAAAATTATTGTTGCTGATTTCAAGGTTTATCATTTTTTTCTGATTTAAATTATTTAAAAATTCTAAATCAATTAACTGATTATCACAACATTCTAACTTTTCTAGGTTTGGACAGTCACTTAAGTCTAATTCAGTAAGTTGATTGTTCGCACAATTCAATTTTTTCAAATTAGCGAACTCTTTTAACTTTAAAGAGCCTTGAAGGTTTCTGTTTCTAATGTCTAGCTCGACTGTTTCGCTCCTTAACTCTAAAGGATAGTTCTCATCTAATCATTCTTGAGCCTGAACCATTATTCTTCAGCCTCTTTCTTATTTTTTAGGAAGTAAGCAATTATTCCTACTAATCCTAATACTAAAACCCCTCCTAGGATTCAAGGAAGGTAGTTTTTTTTATTGTTCTCGTTAGAAGTTGAAGATTGATTTGATTTGATTTGAAGCTAGTTCAGATTTTTCTTGGGAAGATAAACTATCATATTGTTTTTGGCAATCGGCTGAGCAAAATGTATAATCTATCATAGAACCGTGTTTTACTCCTTCGTATTCATCACTTCATTTTTGGCAGACCTTACAAATTTCTAGTAAACTATCTGTTAAACAACTTTCATAGTGAGTTGTTTTGATAATTACGGCTTCTTCTTTCTTAAATTGTTCTTTATATTCCTCGTTTTTTTGTTGTCAACAAGCAGGACATAAAACTAAACTCTGGGCTTCATTATGTTGCCTAGCAATTTTATCGCCGATGATAATTTCATAATAGGCATCTCCTAGTTTGTTTTGACAATTTTTACACTTATTAGATTCTGACATATCATAATTTTTACCGACGGCTTTCCAAAGCCTTAATATAATCCTCTAAGCTTTTTTTTCGTTCAGTCAGTTCCTCAGTCGGGATTATTTTGTAGAAGTTCTTTTAATTCTTTTATTTGTTTTTCTAATTCTAGCTTATTCATACTAACTTTTTACAATTCATCCTCCGGCTCATATTCGTCTTCGGATTCGGGTTTTTCTTGCTCTTGTTCTTGTGGCTTTTCCTGCTCTTGGGTTTCTTCTTTCTCCTTTTCTTTTTCTTTCTCAGTTTCCTTTTCGTCTTCGTTTTCTTGCTCTTGGGCTTTTTCCTCTTCTTGTTCTTGCTCAGTTTCTTTCTCTTGCTCTCGTTCTTTTTCTTGGGCTGTTTCTTTGCTTCTTTCTCCTAAACCTTGGGCGGTTTGTTCTTGCTCAATGTTTTCTAAATCTAATTCTTGTTCTTCAAAAGTTTCATCTTCATTTTCCTGTCCTTCTAATTCTTTTTGGTCAATCTCTTGGCTGGTAGTTTTCTTTCCTTCGGTGAAAGTAGTTATTAGTCGGGTTCTAGTTTCCGTTTGGGTTCATTCAAAGTCAATATCTACCGTGCCATCGCCAGTTCCTTTTCCTCCCCCGGCTCTCATGTGTAGTTTAACTTTTATGGGGTTTTTGCTATCCAGGTTGCCACTTTTTTCCGGTCCAGTTCAGACTTTTCAGAAATAAGCATAAGTTCCGGCCGGGATGGTAAATTCTTTACTTCATTCTCCGCCATAATTTCAACCAGCATAGCCGCTTCCTCCTCGTCAGTTAGGGGTTTGTTGTAATAAACTTAATAAAACATCACTTCCTCCGCTGTTTTTAATGTAAGGTGGAGTAGTGAATAATACCATGTTATCATGCTTGGTTATATTATCAAAACTGTCGGCATGGTCGGTTTTCTTGGTTTCGACGGTTTCGGTTATTTCTTTTTCCCGATAATGTTCCTCAGCTTCAAAAGTATCTCATTCATTGCCCCCAGTCTTAACATATCCTTCTTGCCGTTGATAACTTAATTTAGGATTTTTGACTTCTTCTCCTCCGTCTAGCCAGTAGCCACGGTTCATAATATTAGAAAAAAAGCCATTATAATCACTTAACAATAAAACATCCTTTCATTTTCAGTATCCTAGTTTGCGAGTATCCGTTCCTTTTTCTTCGTCTTTTTTTCCTTGGGTTCAGCTGCTTAAATCATTCCATTGTAAAGGTAAAGTTAATACTTTGCTTTTATTATTGGCTCAACCAAGGTTATTAAACAAAATTTCACTAACATGAATACGGTAAAAGAATAAGGGTTCAATTAGACGAGTGAAAAATTCGTGTAGGGTATAGTGGAAATCAATCGTGTTTCCGTGGAACATAGCTGGCTCAATAGATTTATTAAAAGCATCAAACAAAGTTGATTTAAACATTCTTTCAGTTTGGGCATCCTTGGTAGGACTTTCTTTAATTTTGTCTATTGTATTTTCCAAACCATCAACAAAAATTCCCTTAGGATTAATTCCTACTCCTGTGCCTATAATTTGAAAAGAAGTAATAATCCTTAAAGGAGCAAAATAATCTTGAAAAGAACCTACACATTTTATCTCACATTTGACAGTTATATACTGGAATTCTCAACGATAAACTAAAACACCGGGAGCATGATTGATGAATAGCTTGTAAGGTAAAACAAAAACAATATCTTGGGTCTCTTTTGAGCATTTACAATCATTTTTTCCTCCTTCGGCATAGTTATCACAAGACTTGCATTTTACCCTAATTCCTAAATGCTGGCCATTGGCAGTCATGGTAATATTATTAAAAAGGTAAAACTGGAAAGTAGTATGGTCTCATAAATGAGGCTGTTCTTTAAATCACCTTTTATAGCTTCTGGCAACTTTCTGTTCTTTTTCTGTTCCTGCATCTTCTTTTAACAATATTTCTTCATAAGAATTCATTGTCGAAAAAAAAGCACTTCCTTTATCATGCTCTTCGGGTCCAACAGTTAAAAATATTTTTCCACCTAAGACATCATTGAGAAGTTGCTTTATTTCTGTCTTAGGGTCTGTTTGCTCATTATATCCTTCCTGCTCAGTAATAGTTCCCGAACCATCTTTAATATCAGTTTTTCTGGTAATTGTCTTACCTTTAATTAGTTTAATAAGCAGTTTAAACACATTTCCAACGGAACCAGTTTTTAAAGCTTCCATTACTTCCTGACGGCTAGCAAGCTTAGTTAAATGAATGTCAGTAGGAATTGCCAAACCTTTAATGTCTCCTTCGGTTTCCATGTCTGCACCCGTTGTCTCTCCTCGAGTTTTTTTGGTTGCTCAGGAAGGATTACGATTAATTTCATCTTCGGCATCTCCTTTTCCTTTGCCAAATGCTCTAAACAAACTAAACCTCGGTTGATAACTACTAAACTCGCTTTGATAAATCCTTTTAATTCCTAGATTGCTACAAAAATCATAATGCATCCTATTACTTTGCATTAAATTCTTAGGTGTTCCGTCGGAATTAGGACTGTCTTCCTTAATCACCGGTCCTTGCTCCAATACTCCTTTTCCTCGACTTCTTTGTCAATTCCAATAATAAACGCTTAACGGACACTTTTTAGCTCTAATTTGAACTGTTAATTTATAGTTATTAATATACCTAAAACCAACTACGAAATAAATTTGCTTCCTTCATAAAATAGCTAAATCTGGTCTCATTAAGTCATAACTAGTTTGAGTTTGATTGGTTCCTAAATTTTCTTTTTTCTCTTTTGACTTCTCTAATTCTTCGGCTTCTGCTTCATAAAGTTCTCGGTAATCACTATTTAAAAACTCTTCCAAATTATTCGACTTACCTAATTCTTTTAAGCTTTTTCGGTATTCTTCTAGTGCTTTCTTTTGTTCTGGACTCAAGCCTGGTTTTTTTATTTGCTGAGGAGTTTTATAATATTCTTCTCTTAATTCTTCTGAATTACCATGATTTAAAACTTTTTCCGGAGTTAGTTTTTTAGTTTTGCTTAACCATTTAGCAAAGTCGGCATCTTCTTCGGATAAGCCGATGTCCATTCATTCTTTTTTCTGTTGAGAAGTAAATCCTGCTTGGGTTCAATCTAAAACTTCGCTAAACTGGGCTTCGGAAAATTCAATTGTTTCCGGTTCATATTCTAAATCAAGTTCTTCCAATAATTCTTCGTCAGATTTCCTTATCTCTCCTCCTAGTTTTTGTTTAATTTTTCTAATAATACCTTGTTGTTTTCATTCTATTTCAGCGGGTTTACCAAAGGCATTTTTAGTTACTATTTCTATTTCGTTATTTTCATTCTTGACTATTTTACAATTATATTCTTCAAATTCAGTTTCCTTTAAAAACTTCATGGCTTGATTATATCTCTGATAATGAGGAATGTTAGTATAATTTCTATTTCAGTAATTTTTTCCTTGTGGGTCGTTAAAGAGGATGACATTTATTTTCTGGGTTCAATACTCGGAATTAGCTCGAATATCTTCGGGTTTGATTAGTAAATTTGCTCCTACTCCCATACC